TCTCGTTCTTTTACGCTCTCCAGCAGTGATACAGGAGTAGGTGCTCCTTACAGTGGTCTAGGTCTCCCAGGACCCTACACTCAGGAGAGTGGCGTTTGGTCTCACTACGAGGTATCAAGAACATTGTTGTCTGGGCATCTTTTCTTTTTATTTCCTATGTTGTAAATGGGCAGCAGTGGAAATCTTATAACAAAGTCTTAAGACAACAAAAGCAAAACAGGTGATTGTGTCTTAACACATTCAGGCTTGATGATGTTCCTCTTTTTTCAGACCTGCTCCGTTTTGAAAGGGACTTCAGTCCATTGGCTGGAGGCTCAGAAAGTTGCGTACAGTTCCAAAGGTGATCAGTGGGTGGCCTTTGACAACCAGCAGAGCTATGATGCCAAGGTACAACAGCTTTGGTTGAAGTCTCTCTCTCCAGTAACTAGTGGGAAATTTCTCTCAGTGAAGAGTTTAAAGAAAATATTGTAGCCTTTGGAAATTCATCTCAGTGAAGCCATTACTGCCCTGAAGAGTAAACAAGAGTTTAAAGAAAATATTGTAGCCTTTTGGATTTTAAAAAAAATTGAGTTTTTCCTTCAGGTAGAGTACCTGAGGAGCAGGCAGCTGGGAGGAGCTGCCGTGTGGACAGTGGACATGGACGACTTCACCGGACAGTTCTGTGAACAAGGCCAATATCCTCTAATAAAACATCTGAAATATCAACTCACTGGTGAGGGTTTTTTAAAACATATCTATGGAGCTACCAGGTAGGAGACAAAGAGGAAGGCAAAAAGAGGAGATGTATGGATGCAATGATTCACTGTAACAACCACTGAAAAAAAGGGACAAAGCTGAAAGAAAAAGAAGAAGAAGAGTGCTCCAAATGGCACAGTCACAAATAGTGTCACGTAGAAATATTTCTTACACGGAGATTTGAACCAGAGACCTCTTGTTAGGGACTGAACAACTACTCACGACATGGATATGACACATAATTTCTTTTTTTTTTCAGGCTGGATATCAGGGGAATCTAAAGCATCTACATCAATTCCTGCCACAACACCTGCTTCAAAACACACACAGCATCATGTCTCTCATCAAAGCACTACAGTAAAACTCGACTACAACTGCTACCAGAACATGACTGTGGAATACCCTGACAGTAAGTTCTGTATACACAGGGCTGACGGATCATATAGAAATTTACATGATCCAAAGACGTTCTACACATGTATAGAGAGAAGGACATACTTCACCAGGTGTCACGTGATGACAGACTTCAACAGTGGTGAACATCTGATGCCAAAAAGGACTTCAATTACCACCGGCCTTCTTATAGCCACTGGATTCTATTACTTTTTTCCTGTGGTTTAATTGGTAAATGCTGTATAGTGTTTTTACATGGCCCTGGTCAAATGTATGACTCATAATACTGTAGACTTAAACCTGACCTTTTTACTGCACTGCATATAAAAGCAGGACTCTATGGAAAAACACACTCTGACCTGACCTTTTTACTACACTGCATATAAAAGCAGGACTCTATGGCAGGTAACTCTTTTATATGCTGTATGCTAGGATACTGTATCTAAAGGTTCATAGGCAGTGGTAGCAGCAATTCTCCTTTTCAGGACCTCTGTGATTTACCAAACTGAAGTCAAAATGCATCAGAGACAGTGAGAGGGAAAGAAAATACATATAATTTTATTATGGGGGAATGACTGTGGGGTTTTATAACACTTTATTATGAGGGAATGACTGTGGGGTTTTATAACACTATTGTGAATATTGCAGGGCTTAGTCTGTCATGAACCTTTTCATGAATTAATTATATACTGTTCATACCTGAGTATATTTTGTAGTGTAATATTCATAAAGTAGACATTTAGTGAATGTGTAGTAGTATTTAAAATAAGATGATTTTACATACTGTATATTGCTATGGGGTTTGTTAACTAAATTAAATAATTTCCGAAATTTTAAATAAAAAGTTTTTAATTTTCAATCTGGTGAGAGTGGTGTTTTTCTAACGTTTTATACATTATGTTTGTAATTTTAAGATTTAAAACGATTCCTTATAAATCGTATTATTATTAAACTACTTATTATATTATGTCGCCGTAGGAAGCTTGATGGTTAAGAATCGTAACGAGTGTACACGTTTCTTGCTTCGTCAGCTCTGAAAACCTTAGGAAGAAATAAATATTGAAATGCATTATGGGAAGTGTGGTACAACAGCAATACGGTTCAGGATCTTACGAGGACGTTGTTTACTTCATTACCCAGAAGTCCAAGCACTTAACATCCTGGTTAGTTCTCACGTATCTCCTATGTTTAGTTTGAGTGTGTGAGGAAAACGTTAAATGTTATTTAGCCATTTTAGTTAATTAATTTCGTTCTTCACAATGTTTAATCGCACTCTCCTTTGTGCTTATTTATTTCGCAGTATGGTGACGTCACAGTGGAGACACTATGTTATTCTTCATCTTTAGGCTAGGCTAGGTTAGTCAGCTAACACTCTGGAGAACAAGGTTGGTTGTTGAGATTTACAATTCTTCCAACATGTACACCTTATTATCGGGATTGTATAAATACATGTTCCAAAAGGACGAATATTGTATTCTGATCCTTGGTCTGGACAACGCTGGCAAAACGGTGAGTCCTACAGTAACCTAAGGTAGATGATACTTAAGTCTTCGGAATATTTTTAAAATATCTAAGAATTGTTACTTTACAGTTACCGTTTTTTGTGATGTCCTCGTGGGTAAACTCAAAATATTCAATTTTAAAATGTTTTCCTGTCATAAAATATTAAGGAGAGTTGGAGCAGACCTCGGGGACCCGGAAGAGTCGCCCATCGTGTTTTCTAATTGATTAACTTTGGAAAACCAAAATTAAAATAAGAACTTCCCAAATATGCATGTGTCAACAAAATTATTTTTATATTTAAAGACGTCGTTCAATAGCAACGTAACTTGTTTTTTGTTTTATTTAAGTTGGTAAAATTACAAAACTTTGTCATTTATAACAGCACTGTACGTTTCGCTAAACAGCAACAATATGCTGGTGTATTGGACAAATAATTAGGATTAATTTAATGACACAGCTGCCTTTTTGAATCTCGGGATATTTAAACTGTTTCTCCAGAAGTCTCACAAACTGACTGGTGTCTCTCTCTACAGACCTTTCTGGAACAAACCAAAACAAAGTTCAGTAGGAACTACAAAGGGATGAGTTTATCAAAGATAACAACTACAGTAGGCCTGAACAGTAAGTGTGTGTTCATCTGTGTGTGTGTCATGAAAAAAAGAGATTCCTGTTTTTTTAGATAATGCCTCAGTGTATACATTTCATTTGCTGTCAGGAAAGTCACCAGTGACAAATTAGATTTTTTTTGTCTCTGAATATTGTCCAAAGGAAAACAACAGTGTTTGAAGACTTTCTCTGTCTGTAGATTGTCTACCACTTTCACTTTGTTATATTTGTCTCAGAATGTATGTTCACCTGAGTCCTTTATAATGGTTCTGTCACAGTTGGCACCATTGATATGGGCAAGGCCAGACTAATGTTCTGGGATCTGGGAGGTCAGGAGGAGCTCCAGTCTCTGTGGGACAAAGTGAGTACCAATCTTCTAAATAATGTCACAGTGGCGCTACATTATACGCTACATACATACTTTTTATGTTCTTATTCTTAGGTAATGTGGGGAAAAATACCAAAAATTGAAGTAAAATTTTGTGTGAGGATTTAAATATCTACTTGATGATGGTATCAAGTCAGAGTCATGTGGTGTGTGGGATACATGTATGTATCATGTCTGTTTCAGTATTACGCAGAGTGTCACGGCGTCATCTACGTGATAGATTCAACTGATGAAGGTCGTCTGTCTGAATCAAAGGAGGCCTTTGGTGAGTTTTCAGCCTGTGTCTGCATTCGAGCTGTAAATACTCCCCTCAAGTCAGATTCGAAATTTGAATGCTTTCTATGTTAAAATTTCAAATTCTATTCAAATTTAAACTTTTTTAAAGCTCATTATAGACTCCTATTCCAGCTTATTTTTACGTCCTACGTCCACTAGAAGGCACTCCAAACCAACTCTGTTTTGTGACATTTGCAACAAGTTTTACCAACTCAATATAAAAAGTCATAAAAGGAAATCAAAATATTGTAATGGCAGATAAATAATAATCTCATTAAGCAATGTATTGAATGTAGGCGTGTGCTCAGGGTTTCTCTTGATGTTTTTTCCCCTAGTTTTGATGGAAATCCAAACACTTTCCACACAGCACTTTTTAGGTTTTGAGGAGTTTTTGAGGAGATTTGTGTTCTTACCGAAGGCACAAGTTCAAACATCTGTTTCCACATTTGAATGTTCTCATTTAAAAAAACAAAAAAACAAATTCTATTTGAATAGCAAAGTTCGTTTGACAGCCCTAGTCTGCATCAACAACAGCAATAGTTTCACTCCAACATCAGAGCTCCAGCACTGAAAGAAATCCTTCATGAAAACAAATAGTTGATATTATTGGAGTTATTGACTGATGTTTTTTTACTCGGTGTCTCCTTTAGAGAAAATGATCAGCAGTGAGGTGTTAGACGGTGTCCCTCTTCTTGTGCTGGCCAACAAGCAGGATGTTCCGGTACACAGATCTGATTTTCCTTTACTGTATATTTACACTGACATTACAGTGAAGTCACAGGTAGAGCCTGATGATGATCATGCTGTGCTTGTTTGTAGGTTTAATTTCAGCATGTGTCTCGAACTGTTTTGACACAGAAAAACATTTTCTTACGATTGCAAAACCAGAACTTTGTGATTTTCACTCATGTGGTTCTAACTATCCTTCTAACCTCCCTGTGTTTTCTCTGCTCTCAGAACTGTTTGTCTGTGCCTGACATTAAGACAGCCTTTAGTGACTGTGCACCGAAGATCGGCAAACGAGACTGTTTAGTCCAACCGTGCACCGCCCTGACTGGGTAAGAGTTATCTCTCTATCTATTAGGATTGAACTGTTCACATGGACTGTTCACTACATGTGTGTAAGTCTCCTGCTGACCCCTGCTGGAGGTGGTGGTTGTTGTTGTCTAACTCCATGTCTTCACATCTGCTGTCAAACAGGGATGGAGTAAATGAAGGCATCGAGTGGATGGTGAAATGTGTGGTCCGGAACATTCACCGTCCTCCCAGACAAAAGGACATCACATAAACGCCTCATCTTCCTCCTCTGTGTGAACCGAAGCCGCCTCCCTTCAGGACATTCCACGAAATCTCTAGAGCACCCTCTGCTGTCTTCTAAGACTAGGACAGGATTTTGATGTGAGGAAGCAGCTTTTCTGATGTGCTTTGAGCCACTGTCTGTGTTTTTCACTGGTTTCCTGGTGTCGAATTAACGGGGTTTTTTTCTCACTTTTGGAAAAAAAAAGAGGAAACACTATATCTTTAAAAAATACTGTAATATCAATATTAAATACCTTTTTTATGAAAAATCCTTTTGGTAAGGCAGGATCCCTAACCACCTCTGTCACCTATTGTACTGTACAGTACCCTGCATCAAGTTATCGTTAACATTTGCAGCTTCCCCACTTGGAAGAGAGACAGATCCATTTGATCCTTTACTTATTTGCCATGAGGTACATGAATGAAAACCTTTGGGAAAACAAGAAATATACATGTACACTATTGTTGATAGTAACAGAAATATAATACACCCATTTGTATATGTACACCATTACACAATTCTCCACAATAAACATGGATTAAGCTTTCACTGCTGTTTTAACTTTTTACCTTAACGTTAAAATTAATGTATACTCATGTTTTTATTACCTTTTAGCTTGAAACAAGACTAAGCAATGTGGTCTGAAAGTCATATCTAGAGGTTTTTTAGCTGAATCACAATACTCGACCTATATCCATATTTTTATCTGTGACGTAATTGAGGTTTCCGCCTAAAGCATTATAGATATAGATTAGTTTAATTCTTTACATACATTATACAGTGGGGCCTCGAGGTATGAGCCAAAATACAATTTCCAAGTTACGAGTAAGCAATTATTACAAGATGTTCCTCGTTATGAGTGCTCAACCGAGCTCCATTTCTCCACTGGACACTGTCGCGTGCCCCGCTCACTATCTCTCTCACTCTCTCTCTCCCTCATCATCTAAATCGAGTCCTCACTCCCTGTCCTTCTCCTACGCTTTGTGGTCCCGACACTCATGCTGTCCCTCGCTTATTTGACCCATTTTTATAACAATAATCTAAAATGTTTTCTTAGTTATTAATATTTTATATTTTCAATATATCTGTTTATGTTTATGTTTTTGATGTCTAGATGGGGGAATTTTAATTTACTGAATAGTATAATTCTGGGGGTGCTGGAACGAATGAATTGGTTTTCAGAAGAAAATGCAATCGAGATATGAGTGGATCGACACGAGTGCTGTTGTGGAACGGATTCAACTAGTATCTCGAAGCCCCACTGTATCGACTTTTGTACTTGACATTGAAATGGAACTGGTGTTTGTTTGTGTTTGGTGTTTGTTTCTTACCCATAACTGTGAGGACCCTCATAGACACAGGCCTGCTGATCTGTATTCTCACAAGAATTATGTACGTGGAGACAGGGAGCAGGTGTGTGGTGTCTAAATTGGTCCTTTGGGTAAAACGCGGACATCTTTGTCTGTTCTGTTGTTCTGTTGTGAGTGTGAGGAGGAAGTGTTGATCATCAGAAGTCTTAAATCTTCCCGAAATCATCTCTCCTCTGTCGTCATGCTCTTCATGTGAGGACATTTCTGTCTTCCAGTTTTTGTAATGAAAGTGGAGCGTTAACAGGTAAGTGCTGTGAGTTCTGCATAGCTTTCATTTCATGTGAAGTGCAAACCGGCTGAGCCAGATGTGTGACAATGACAAATTGCATCCTTGTGACACCTCACCTCAGCTGTGGAAACAAAAGTATGTACGATAAACTGTATGAACAGTTCCAATCTGGGTTTTCATCCTCTCCATTTATTAAAATCAATAATCATTAATGGTATATTTCTGGGAGGCTGGAACGATTTTTTTGGGGAGGGGGGGTTTAATGGGGAAAAAGCAATCGAGATACGAGTGGATCGACACACAAGTGCTGTTGTGGAATGGATTCAACTCGTATCTTGAAGCCCCACTGTGTGTTTGACCACCATCTCACCTGACCTACTGACCTGTGAAAGACAGGTGTTCTCAACTGGTCAGATCTCAGAGTAAAAGCAGCCAGTTAGACACAATGGCTCTTAAAGACTCCATATTCAGGTGATAGGCATCATAAACCATCCCCATCTCGATCGCCAACATGCCATCACCAACATTCTCTGTCCAACATCTCCACCTTCTCTCCTCAGCTTATGTCCAAACCATCTCCACCTCATCCCTCGATTTTTACCACCAAGCTGCTCCACCTTAACTGTCTCTTTGATGAAGATCCTAGCATGTTCATCTCCCCCACCTTCAGTCTGTTAGACAGACCATCAGTCCCTAAATCATCCCTTAATACACCAGGACTTCTGAAACTTATATTAAACATCCAGATCTTATGATAATTTAGGTTCAAAGGTCGGCAACATAATCCAATTTCTATTAACTCACTCATTCCCGTACATTAAGTACACAGGCTTGGTCCACGGTCCAAACTGTCCTGGCATGCGGTCCGGCTGAGAACCCTGGGCAGGACTTTGAGGAGACCTACAACATTCCAGTCAGCTGACACGTCCTAGATGCTAGACACTTGACGTCATGGACCTACCGTGCCCACACCCACTGCTTTAGGTTTCCATTTATGTTTAATGTTCAGTTTCTGTTGATGGTACTGAGTGAAATGCATCTAATAATAACTGCCCTCTTTGTTCTGTCTTCATAGAATCAGACTAAGGACTGTTCAGTCACAGAAACATTCCCATCTTTATTGGCATTTATGGACGATGGCTGACTGTCGACAAACTTCTTTCAGAAATATTTGACAGATTCCTTTGTGTCAGTGACTTTCATCTCCTCCTTTCTGCCCTGCTTCAGTTGGTAATGTGGGTTCAATTCCCAGTATTGATCCTTATCTTCTTTTGACAGTTATCATGGGATGTTTGACCTTCCATGTGTGCGGTTTCTGTGACTAAAAATGACTCCAAATCCTCAGCATCTGTTCTTTGAGTCTGTAATATCTCTAGTGAGGTGATCGAGTTGGAAAGGCAGGAATTTCCCTCACCAGCATTGGTATTTAGATATTTAGATATTTGCATAGAGAACCGGCAGAACAACTGCCACGTCTCCAGCTCTCACCTGTTTATTTATACACATTTATAGATCCAGCCAGCCTTTGTGCTCTGACACATGAGAAAACACACTAAGTTCACTGTCAACGGGATAAACATAAGTGGACTATTCACTAGCTGAGTGTGTATATTTGATGGCAGACTACTCTCATACGATGTAGAGAATTCAGTGAAATCTGTCATGTGTATTGAAAGGACCCAATAGCAGCACAACCAAGTCAGGATTAGCTCAGTCTTTATTATATTATATAACACAAACAGAATTCCACAGCTAGCAGACGAGGCAGGATCTGGCAACAACAGGCAGGGATGGTAGTCAGGAACAGGAGACTGGTGGTTACTGCAGCTAAGACAAGGTGATGTTCTCAACAGGTCAGGTCTGGATCAGAAAACAATTTTTCATGTGTCTGGGCATACACACAAGCTGAGGACCACTGTGGGTCTTATTAAAATAATTAACCTAAAGCAGTAATTTCCATTAGGTTACTTTTAACATGAGTAATTTAGCCCACTTAAAATCTTGCTGTTTATCAGAAGTGTAGTATGTTATATGTGAGCGTCCTGCATTTGTCCTAGGTGAAGTCCAGTTGTGGTCTGGCTGAGGGTTTTGCTCTGGAGGAAATGACACATATGCACCTGACATAGGACTTTGTAAACATTAAAACACATTCACATTTTGCACAAAGATGTGTGCTGTAGCTTGTGATACAGTGTAAATACAGTGTAAATACAGAGTGTAAATTCCTCTAAAACTTTGTCTGAAATATATAATTACACAGTTGTTGTTTTTTTACCATTCATGCTACCCATAAATTCTCTAGTAGTAACAGCATTTATTTATAAATATCCATAAATGAAAAATCCAACTTAAACGTCTGTTGATGCCAAACTCGTTTGCTACTTTGGCTTTGCCGCATGTTTGTCAAAGACCTTTCGTACTCGGAAAAGAAAACAGTCTAACCTAGTTTTACCACCTGTTCTTCTGTTTGCACATACTCCGACGGACTTTGCTTTACTCTGACTTGACAGTGGTTAGTAAAATTATTACCTACAACACCGTTGATGTTGAATTTTATTTTATGCGCTGCACAGATTTTCTTGTGCGCTGAGAATATTCGAGCAGCGCACGTGCGCAGCTTAGAGGGAACACTGGCTCAGAAACTGGAAAGGAATTTTTCATGGAAACGAGAGCAATCTGGCAAGAGTCAAGGGAGTGGAGCTGAATATACTTTATAGGCGGAAGCAGATTGAAGGAGCAAAGGCAGGAGCTGATTAAAGGAGCAAAGGCAGGAGCTGATTAAAGGAGCAAAGGCGCAAGGAACAAACGGGGACAGAATTTCATGAAAGAGCGTGAGTGCCTCTGTTGCCTGTGGTTTCGTTTGTTGGCGTCATTTTTTGTGAGTGAGTGTTCTCCAGTAAAGGGGTGGAGATACAAGTCAATAGTTATCTCATAGTTTGCTTTCCTCCTCTGTTGCACATGAAACAAAACTTAAGCGCCACAGTTCCACCCTCCCCACACGCCCCTTGTATGTGCTATCATATATTAACACACACTTCCTTCACTTCACAGTCAGTCAGATCTGTTCCTAACAGTAACCGTGTGGAGACCAGGTAATTATCATTATGGTACTGTGTTGTTTTTTGTTCGTTCTCTCTTTGTCATTTCATATGTTTACAGCAGCTCTGACCAGTAATGTTGAAGGGTTCAGTTCGGTGAGTCACATGACTGTTTCATACGTACCGATGTTTACAGTACATCGTCAACGCAGTGAAGCTTCGTCACGGGTGGGTTAAAGTGAAAGTGAAAGTGAACTCCTTGTCGTTGTGACACAGCTCACCACTGCAACCAAACACAACCAACTGTGACCTCTGACCTCTGCTTTTAACCCATCACCAAAGTGAACAGTGGGCAGCTTTAAGCACCAGGGGAGCAGTGTGGGGGGACGGGGCCATACTCAGAGCACCTCAGTGGTGACTTGGCAGCTGGTGGACTAGAACCTGAAGACTTCTGGACCCAAGTCCGCTTAACCACTAAGTGGCTGTGGCAGTGGCAGTGTGATGAGCTTCAGTCATTTGGCTTCAGTCAAGATTGGTTTAAAAGATGCAATGTTTGGTCTGATTTGAAAGTCTTCTGATTTGAAGGTCTTCATTTTGAGGGTCACACAGCTCAATACTGGTAAAACTGAACTTTGAGAACTGTTTTTCTTCTCCTCCAACCTTTAGGGTGATCCAATTCATCAGGAGACACCGCTGTGCATTAGAAGAAGGTTTGACATCCGGACCCTCCAGTCCAGTCTGTGATCCCCTCAGATGCTCCTTATGGTCAGGCGTACACCTACACCTCCATTCAGTTGTTGACTACAGAATTATGACAGTGTCACCATGTCAGTGGATGAGTACAGACTGGCTCCACTCCTGCTGACCCATGACCTCACTCTTGCCTGCACTCAATGCGCTGTCCAGCTGAAGGAAATAACATATAGACTAAAACCAGTCCAGCACCAGTGTACAAATGATCTTCTTCTCTGCAAAACCAGAGGTGGAAGCAGCTGGAGACCTGTTTCCAGACGACCCACATTTCGACGCCCGAGTCGCTATGTGGTGTGTGACTTCTTTGTAGAAGGTTATGGCTGCACGAGCCACAAGAACCGATGCACATTTGCCAGAAGTGATGAGGAGGCAGCGGTTTGGAACTTTGAGAAGCTTCACAGATTAAACTATGACCTCATTTGTCATCTTTTAGCCAAGAGTGACACAGAATCAGACTCTGAGGAGTCAGAAGAATCAGGGTCCAATGACTCTGATATTCTCAGTGACCTCTTTTCGAAGCTGGATTTAAAGATAGCCTGTGATCTGTGCTCTGTCAGGGAAAATGAAATAACGTATAGTGTGAAGCCAGTCAGGCACAAATGCAGAAGAAACGTGGTTCTAGCCAAAAGCAAAGCCGGTGACAAATACAGACCTGTGTCACAGAGGCCAGTGTGTAGGAATTTTGGCCCAAATGTCTTTTATCAGTTGTGCTACTACTTTGTTGAGGGTTCTGGTTGTACAGTGCATGGTCAGAACTGCACTTTTGCCAGAAGTCACGAAGAGGCCACTGTTTGGAACTATATCAGAGACGAGGATATAGAGTATGACGAGCTGGTCAGTCTTGTCATCCAGGCAGAGGTGAATTCATCAACTCCACAACATGCAGCTAAACTCTTACTGCAGCAGTTCCCCGGTGAATTTGTTGAGTTCTGCAAACACTGCTTTCAGTGTCAACCTCACAAACTGTCAACCAAACGCTGGAATGAGACGTGTTCAGCAGACCAGGCTCATGAATGGGACGCAGTCTTAGTTCATCACTCTTTAGACAGCAGTGGAATACACACATATAACCACATACGCCCCGTACCCAATAACTGTGAGTTAAAGTACTGCAGCCATGTCAGGGAAACCAAGCCCTGCTGGCACCAGGCTGGTCACTGCCGCTCCGCCCAGAGTCAGGTGGAGATGGAAGTGTGGAAAGCTGAACAAGATGGTCTCTCCATCCGACCCCATCTTCTTCAGTTTAGCCAATCAAAGTCAACTGATACCAAACAGGACTCGTGGTTTTGTAAGATCTGCCTGGTGGCGCTGTCCTCCCCAGAGATGTTTTACCAACACTGCTCCTCTGTGGAGCACGCACAGAGGCTGTCGGACGACACCACCTCCGAGTGGAGAGGACGCCAACCACCACACAACCGACGGGCTGAGTTCTGGCTGTGTGAAAGGTAAGTTCCACTGCTCACTAAAGGAGACACATGATGAAACTTTAACCCGAATCTTTATACTTTAATTTCCCAAAGGGAACTCCCTAGAGCTTAATAATAGATTCATTAATCCATCCATCCATCCATCCATCCACCCATCCATCCATCCATCCATCCATCCATCCATCTATCTATCTATTAAATAAAATTCTTAGTGAAATTTGTTGGTTAAAAAAACCTAAAGGATTGATCACAGATATTAATATCCAGTGCCGCTTTTCTCATTCCAGACCACAATCCTGTGAAATTGGTCCCAAATGTCCAAGGGCTCATTCAGTGGAGGAACTGCAGGAGTGGATGATGCGTGTGAGAGAAGAGAAGACGCTGGGACCTAAGACTAAGGCCCTGGTCTCTGTGTCCTACAGTGAACAGCTGTTAGAGGAGTACAGGAAGAGCAGAACTGGGGGCTGTGTTGTAAGTAGTCAGCAATAAAGCCCAGATGGACAGAAAGATTAGGATTTTGATTGTGATCAGTTTTCACTTGTTCTCTTGTTGGGCAGATGTCTGAACACGTGAATGATGTCAGCATCTCTTGTGACGAAGAATTAGCGGTGGTGTGTGAACAGACCGGTGTGACACTGAAGTGGAACTTCACGGTGGAAACAGAGGTGACATTTTCACTTGTAATGTAATGTAATACATGTGAGTTAGCAGTGAGTAACCATCATGCTAGGACGTAGCTAATTAGCGGCATGTTAGCAGTGTGCTAACGTGTTGTGTTAGCTGGTGTTCACAGATGATACTGGGCTACATGACTGTGTTATATTAATGGCACTACACTGTGATACTACTATACTACTACACTGCTATACTACTACAGTACTATATTACAATACTACACTACTTTACTAATTTACCTCTATTTTTAAACTGCTTTTATACTAAAATACCTCCATTCTTTTATACTTCTATATTACTTTACTACCATACTTCTGTACTACTATACTTTTTCACTACTTTACTACTACACGTCTATGCTTCTTTTCTTTCTTGTCAACAGGTCCTAAACTGTAAGGGGTAAATGTTTAATTGTTTGTTTGATGTTGGTCCACAAACTGTAAATGTTTAACTGTTTGTTTGATGTTGGTCCACAAACTGTCCTGAAGGACTCACCACACACACTCATATAAACACACTACAATAGTCAGAGCTACAGCCTGCAACTACTGCAGTAAAGAGTTAGTACCTCCACAATCATTTTATGTCATTTTTATTTTCACACTTGTTGCTCACCTGGCCTCACTGTTGTCACAGAGACACCTGGTGCACGTGGCACTGCTGAAACAAGAACCAGGAGCCTTGTTCTCTCTGGGTGACCCTGGTACAGTCGCCTGCACCTACTCTTCGGGTAAATTCTTCATCAGGGGAGACGGTAGCTATGATGTCACAGTGTGGTTCACTTCCACTAACCCAGGCTTATATGAACAGTGGTTAGTGCTTGATTTTGATATGAGACCAGTGCTGTTAAAGAAACTCACAGTACGAGTGGCTCAGCCGTCACTAGAGAAAACTGAAGAACCGACAGTGGACCTCAAAGTGTCCTTTCCACACGTTGAGCGCTGGCATCCTGGGAACAGAACAATCATCCCATACATGCCCAGAACACAGGAACTGGAAAAGCTGTTAAATCTGTACCAGCCACCTGAGGAGAGCTTTCAGTATTCATACTCGCAGAAGATCTCAACACCTCTGACTAAAGACAACTACAAGGAGAGAATGCACCAGTTCCTTTATGAAGAGGAACAAGCAGAGAACAACGTTGTTTCAAGGTAAGACATTCATATTTAATTAAAATCTGTACATTTGCAAACACAAAACAAATCTGTCAACATTTTCTCATTGACCTCAGACTGAATGTTCGTGGAGAGGTGACAACCTGTACCATGACGGAAATTCCTCCAGGAGAGTTAATTTGCACCGTCTCCGTCCCATTCACTTTGACACCAGACACTGCAGAGGGAGTTGTTCTGAGTCAGAGCATCCGGTCTGCACTCATAGCCCCAACAACTGCAGGTGATGAAAAGTCTCAGGTCTACGAAGCCAGCATTCTGCCGAATCGAACAAAAGAGAACCAACTGTGTTTACTGCTCTCTACAAAATGTTGCACTGACTTAAAGCTGAAAAGCAGTGAATCGTACCAGATGGAGGTGCAGTTCCAGCTGAACAGACAAAGGTACTGCACTTTGCACCAGGCAGTCGACCGTCTTCCTGACACAAACAGAGTGTTACCAGACTTGAAGAACTCAACAGTTCCTGTGAGCGGTGTCATCTATGGCCAACTCAATGCGAAGCAGAAGTTAGCAGCGCAGTTCATCACAGGAGAGGCTAATGAGCAAAAACATGTGGCACCGCTTCTGATTTATGGTCCGTTTGGAACTGGGAAAACATTCACTCTTGCTACTGCAGCGAGAGAGCTCTCCAGACAGCCCCACAACAGAGTGCTAATTTGCACACACACCAACAGGTAATACATACATACACACATACATTCATAATGTTGAATATTGTTCTCTAGTTCATGAGGACACATTATTCAGAATGGGTCATGTACAGTAGTTGAGATTTCCAGTGGGAAACTCCCACACCACACCACTATTTCTACCTGTTAAATGGATGACCATTTATTTTACACGTCCACGACTGTTGGACCTCGGTCATGTTGTCATCTGTACCAACACTAGGGGGAGACAGTCAGTGGGACTGTAAAACTTCTAGTCTAGTCCACATAGTTAGTCAGGCATCACCAAATGTTTTGGTGATGGGACAGTGGTAATAGAGAGAGAACAAAGTGCTTAAACACTGTTGCTGAAACATTATTTGTGCAAAAACAAAAAGACACAATGTAATTAAATTACCAGCAGAACATGCCTGATTATGTCGTTTTTTATTATTTATTAAATTTGTAATAACTGGACCTCAGTGACTTTTAATCAAACACCTCTGGTCTACATAGTAACATCAAAGTACTGTTGAAGTGTCAAAGTTAACTACTATCCACTGACAAACATCAAGGCTCATTTTTGACTACAGTTTCTCCTGGAGCTTCTTCTCCTTCTCCTTCATCTTCTTTCTCTTCTTCTTCTTCTTCAACATTGACATATTCCAACAACAGTGGGCTCATGAACAGCTGTTGTGCCAGGTGGCTGGCAACGAACTAAAATTTACACAGTCCCTAAATTAATTTGTTGATTATTTCTTCATTAAGTAATTGTGTGTTTAACCTACGGTAAATAAAGTGTTATTTTAAAAATCAAAATCTTTTTCTTCATCTTCTTCTCCTGGGGCAGTGGTGGCTTAGTGACCAGCTGCCAAGTTACCACTGAGGTACTCTGAGCAAGGCACCGTCCCCACACACTGCTCCCTGGGCGTCTCCTTTGAGGACACGTTTCGTTGTGTGTCACAATGACAAGGAGTTCACTTTCCTTCCTTTCCTTTCCTTCTTCAACCTCAGTTTGATGTCCAGTGTCCTGTCAGTTTCTAGCAGGTTCTATATCTAAATTGATTTCATTATTTTATTATTATTATATTATTATTAACCAGTCGACATTATCTATTAATCATTCATCTTCATTTCATTTCAGTTCTGCAGACCTGTACATAAAAAATCACTTCCATCCATTTTCTGACAACAATGATAACGGGATGAGGCCAATTCGTGTAAAAGCAAACAATCAAGGGAATGCATTGTTTGCCACAGACAAGATCACTTTGCAGTACTGTTTACTTTCAAAGGACGGGCAGAGATTTCTGCTCCCCACAAAGGCGGTCCTTGATCGGCACAGGATAGTTGTGACCACTGCATCGATGGCCAAACGTTTCCATGACCTGGAGCTGGGAGAAGGATATTTTACCCACATACTAATTGATGAAGCTTCCCAAATGCTGGAGTGTGAAGCTCTGATTGCCCTGGGCCTGGCTGGGCCACGCACCAGAGTTGTTCTAGCAGGAGATCACATGCAGATGGTGCCAAGACTTCATTCAGTGGATGAAAACCAACGTGCAAATCACACACTCCTCAATCGCTTGTTCTACCATTATCAAGGCCAACAGTGTGATGCTGCCCGGGCCAGCAGAGTCATTTTCAATGAAAACTATCGCTCAACAAAAGAAATAGTGGAGTTTGTATCCATGCATTTCTACGTTGGCAAGAATGACATCATTAAAGCGACAGGAAATGTTCCAGCACCAGCAGATGGACATGCCATAAAGTTTTATCACGTGAGGGGGACGTGTCGCCTGGACACTGTATCCATGTCTTGGTATAATGATGAAGAGGTTGCCACAGTTGCCCAGTCAGTAATAGAGGTCCTTAACAACTGGCCATTGACCTGGGGACCAAAGGAACAAAGCTCCATCTGTGTTCTCTCAGAAGGATATCAGGTAAATTAGAAACTTGGTTTTGACTTTTGAATGTTACTGAACAAACCCAAATGTGTCTGCAAGGATTATTGATGGAGATGATCAGAGAGGATGGTCCTAACTTTGTGTTTGTGTGTGTCTCCCCCCGTGTGTGCGTGTACAGGTGAAGAAAATTAGAAGAGCACTATCAAAAAGAAACCTTGATAAAGTCCATGTTGAGAATCTAGCAAATGTCCAAGGTAAATATCATTTTGATATCCTCAATGTGTGCATGATTATTCTACTACTAAATATGTATCACACTTATTTTTACAAATTATTCTGACAACCAATAACAATCTCTTACTCAAACATGTCTTCCATTGTAAACAGGAAAACAGTTCCGGGTCATCATAATGACAGCTGTCCAAACTCGTGATAGCCTACAGGCAACTCACGTACCTGGTCTGGAGCTGTTCAATGACACTCATGTGTTAAACACAGCAATGACCAGGGCTCAGTCCCAGGTGGTGGTGGTTGGTGATGCTGCTGCCCTCTGCTGCTCTGGAAAATGCTCAGGAATGTGGAAAAGTTACTTGGACCACTGCTTCAACAACAGCAGTGTTGCACCACAGCACGTCACCAAGGATTTCTTTGAAAAAGATCTGATGGAAGTCGTACGGTTTCAAAAGTCTGAACATAAAGATGAGAGCAGCACATTGACCGATGCAATTCTCCAAGAGGTGAAAGATGAGTATGAGCCACTGGAAAAACTCTGTACTTCTGAGCATGTCAGTTTGAAATTGGACAGCCACGGCGACAGTGACTCGGAATCAACGGACACTGACACTGACCCATCACGGTCTCAGTACATACATGAGCAACAACAACTGGGAAGTCAGTCATATAACAGAGGTCATGGAAAACCCTTACATGACCGTGAGACAGGATCATTCGGTCAAATTATTTGTCTGTTTGAAGAAGAGGATTACTGCAGACAAAAGACAACAGTCCAAGGTAAATATTTCAGGAGGTTGATGATTCCACTGTCGAAATACAAGACCAAAATAATAATACTGATCAGTAAGGAAAAACGTACTCTTCTTCCCATATGGGAGAAAACATATGGCCGATGGAATATTGCCGAATATCTACGTCTTGACCAAAACCTAATGAAGAACCATGCATTCCTCGTAGAGATATTGAAGTGGAAAGAAGGCTGTTTATTCCCTTTAGGGAATGTAGTTGATATCCTCCCACTGAGGGGCACAGGGGAAGCTGGTCTGGCAGTACTCAAAGCAGAATTCCAACTGTCTAAACACTTGCGGCCGTCATATGATGACTTTGTTACCATGGAGGAAGAGACGCTTCTTAGACATGACATGGTTACGGTGAAAACTTTTACTGTTGATGAAGATCATGCACTAGTCCTGGATGATGCCATCAGTGTTAGAGACACTGGAGAACACTTTGAGCTTGGCGTCCACATTGCAGATGTGGCTAGCTTCGTCAGAAAAGGTAGTAAATTAGACAAGGATGCCAAACATCATGCAGTGACATTTGAACAAGATGATACAAGAATGCACACAATCAGAACAAATCTGTGCATAGAATATCTCAGTCTTTTGCCTAAGAAAAAACGCAGAGTAATTTCCCTACTCTTCACACTTGACAAACAAACACTTGAGATCCTCGAAGACCCAAAGTTCAAACTCTCGCAAATCAGGTCTAACAAAAAGTTCTCTTATAAAGAGGCAGAGGATATTATAAACTCTAAAAGCTGTGGCAGAAGGTCCAACTTTGGCACCAGAAAAGCTGAAGACTGTCTGAACCTGGCCTATTGTTTTGCCAAAGCTCAACGAAAGAATAGACTTGAGGATTGGGCCTATTCTCAACCTGACACCAAACGTTGTCCTGGAAAACGTCAAGCCCATCTGATGATTGAGGAGCTGAATGTGCTGTTCAACATATATGCATCCAAGTATTTGACACAAGTAGGAAAAACAATGGACTGCACACCACTTCGCTGTCAAGCCCAACCAAACCCTACAAAAATTCAAGAGTTCCAGGGCGATTATGGTAAAGTCATACCTCTGTCGTTTCAGGTGCGACATAGAGTTGAGCAGAATGAAGACGACCTGCCCTGGGAAAACTTCAGAATAATCTCAGAGGTTTGGAAAGATATCAAGGAAGCTGCCAGAGCAAATGATATTGCCAACCTAGTAGACGTGGTTGCGACCGACGACATCCACCCTTTACTTAGGCCGGTGGTTGATGGTTTCAGAAGGTGTTTAAATAAAGCAGAGGTTGTCTGTTCCAACCCCTTTCCTCCAGCAGATTTGAGCCATTATTGTCTGAATGTACCATCTTACACACAGGCATCTGCACCAATGCGTCACTACCTGGACATCGTCGTGCAGAGACTCCTGCACAATGTCATATGTGATACTAATGTGCAGTACACACATTCAGAGATTACGAGTTTGTGTGACAAACTAGAAGACAACATCAAAAAAGTCTCAGAGTATAATCAGAGGGCTGAGCAGATTAAACATGCGCTGACTTTGACGAGACAAAGTGTCCCAAAACTTGCCTTCGTGGTTAACGCGAGTCCTAAAGAAAATGGATTCATAGTGTCATTTCCTGTCATCAGTGACGTCTTCCCAGAGACATTTTTCATCATGTACAAAGATTTACAACTTCACGACCAGCCGTTTGATGAAACGAGTCCTTTCGTCACTCTCAGATGGAAACAGCGGATCTATGATGCAAAAACAATGCAAATCTACCAGGACCTACAGCCAGACTCTGGTCCCTGCGTTGAACTTCCACTGACTCAATGGAAAGCTATCATAAAGGCAATCGATGATGAAGATTGGGCTCTTGTGATGTCAATGGTGAGCCAGGCCAGTGTCCAGCAGATGGAACACCAACCTGTCTTACAGTCATCAGAGGACACCCCAGAAACTGAACATTACCTTTCCATCGTCCTGAACTTGAATCCCGGAGACATTTTTCAGATTCAAATGAGCTCGGAGCTCAGAAGAGGTTACCAAACACCCTGTGTGCAGTTGATTCACATTAATCCAAACTTTGACATTTGTGTGGACCATGTGCACAACCCGGTCAAGTGTTTTTCCACACCTGCAGATCACCATGCAAAGTATCGGTACAAGGATGCCATGGAGTATGAGCAGATCTGGTTACCTCTGTGTGAGATGGAATCTGCCACCACTGCAGTGGGGGAGAGCGACAGCATCATCATTAAGAACCTCGTGGTAAACTTCAAAAAAGAGTCTGAAAACAGACTCTCAGGCAGCTTTGTCTTACCTGAGGAATGTATTGAGAAGTGGGCGATCGAATGCAACCTTTCCAGGTGCCTACTTTGCATAAGAAAGAAAGGGCTGATGATGCCGTCAGGAGGGGAAGGTTTGAAACACTGGACGGCTGTAGATCCTCGAGAGTTCACATGGGTGGCCCATGCTGTCACAGTCTGTATGGAGAAAATGAAAAACTTGAGTAAGGAACAACATAAAGTGCTGTTTAATGTCTATCACCGGCCAATGGAAACGCCTGAGTGTGTCTTGAAGAAAGGCCAGTGTTTCGATGTAGAAATAATCCCAAAGCTCATTCCTGGCATGTAAGTTCACTAATAATGATAATGTTTTTCTCATACAATGGCACTTGTGGTTCAGTGTTTTATGTGTGTTGTTTTTGTTTTTGTTAAAGTCGGGCAGAAGAGGCCGTGGTCAACGTTAAGTGTGCGTGTAATCTTGTCAAGTCAATCGCACTTGGGGGAACGATTCCAAAAAGCGGTAATTATGAAAACTGCATCATACCTCAAATGTCTACTTAAATCTTTTGAAATAATGTCTGAAATCTGATTGGCTGCTTCTTATTTTTGACAAAGCGCCACATCCCATGATGAGAATTCATCCTGAAGGATTTCCAGATCTTAATGATCGTCAGCACCTTGCAGTGCTAAAAGCATCTGAGAACTCATTTACTCTCATCCAGGGACCACCTGGTAGGAACCTCAACCTGCTTTCACACTGATGTTATCAAAGATTTCCAACTTTTCAACTTTTTCAATTTTGTCTTTTAGGGACTGGAAAGACCATTGTTGGTGCATACTTAGTGATTTATTTGTTCGAGCTGAATTCCCTAATTAGATGGACACCTGAAGATAATGATACAAACAAGAAAGAAGTGATTCTCTACTGCGGTCCATCCAACAAGTCTGTGGATGTTGTTGCAAGTAAGTAACCAACTTGGCTTTTTACTCAACATTTTCCCCCTGGTTTGTTTCTGGGGTTAGAACTGTTTGATAATCAGTGTCAACAAATAAAGGACAGCCATCGAGTCTCTAATCCGATCAGAAGGAAACTAAATTAAAATGAAAAATTTCCTATTATTGAATTCATTTGGATCAGTGAAGCTAACTATGGTTGTAACGTATCTGTATCTGCCGCATATGTCGATTCTTAGCTATTCATTAGCATATTTTAAACATGTTTAAACATTAAATTTCCATTACAGTACTAAGATAGTGTATAAACTGAACATGTTGTTTCTCAGTACTTCTGCTGAAGGCTAAGGCTAAGGCTAAGAAGAAGAGCCCGGAGCTTCTCAGAGTTTGCGGCCAACAGTTGGAAATGCTCGATTATCCCTGTCCAGACGGTGGCCTTCAGTTTTCACAAAGAATGCTCAACCAGGATCGGCCCAACCCAGAGCTCAGGTATTGTCATTGGAAGTCTTTTTTGCAGATTTTCATTTTAAAGAGAATCCAACATTAATCTGGATGTGAACAGCATAGGTAAAAAAAAAGAAATACTGTCACGTTCACTCTGCTGTTTCCACAGGAGCATCACTCTGCATCATCGCATGCGAATGGACCAAAATCCTTTTTCCAATGAAATAATACATTATGACAAAATGATTGAAGAAAAAAAGACTTTGACGAAATCAGAGTTGAGAGGGTACGTTTGTAATCACTGTGTTCTTCACAGTACTTCAGTGTACTTAATCTTAATCTTGAATAACTGAACTGTTTTCTGTCTGATTGGTGTGAGAAACAGAAAACAGGTCACACACAAGGCAAAGTGAGTTTTTTATACATGTTTGAGGTAACCCCGCTCTGGAGCGTCATGTTCTTTTGGCGACACCTACTGGCCACACAATGCACAGGTCGGGGTGTGGTTGTCTAGTCATCTTGGTGATGACTGTACAGTATGAGGAATGTTAATGATTCTACTGTAGGAAGAACCACACCATACACTATTAGTGATCATTTTTGTGTTATAGTGGAGAAACCAAGAATAACTCATAATGAACACATTAATAAATAATCACCTGGTGTTTTTGGAACATTCTAGATACAAAGAACTTCTCAAAAAAGCTCGAGTATATGAGCTTCAACGACATGACATCATATTGTGCACCTGCACACAGTCCTCCAGCCCAAGCTTGAAGACGACAGTTAATGCACGTCAGATTATCATCGATGAAAGTGCGATGGCTACGGAGCCGCAGACCCTGATTCCACTGGTGTCGAACAAACCAGAGAGGGTGAGCTTCTTATTTAATGAATAATATCTTTTAGTGTGTTTTGTGTACTGGCCAGTTGAAAATACAGCTTTGAATCCTGTTGTTTTTCCTTCAATGATTCACGCTTACATACCTGTGTTTTTTTTCCCGCTCCACAAAAAAAACTACAACACCTAAATACACATGATGGGAGGGGAGTAGGAGGGCCGGCTCTTTAGCCCTTCTAAAATGCTGTCACCAAAGATTTCTAGTTGCGTTCATAAGCCAATAACTTATAACATGCAGTGTCATGATATGTACAGACTATATAACATGAGAATAAGGTGTGTAGGGGTGTTTAAGGAGTGTTTTATTTTCCTAACAGCAGAAGTGACTGTGGTTCCAGTGTTAGTATTGTAACGCCCCAGCGATGGATTAGACAGAGGCCAATGTGCTTTTTAAGAACTTTATTTCAGTTTTTGCAGTTGGCAAAAATTCACTCTGAACTTTTATATTATTTTTTAATCCCAGCTTCTCTAATATCTCTCCCATTCTGTCTGCTCTCACATTCTCTCACCACCTCCTTGCCCCCCGCCCCGCAAATCTGTAAATGGTTAACTCCTTCATTACAACAGGAATAGAACGTGGTGACGTCACAGTGCCATATACAGGCCGGTCACATGTATTACAGGGACAGATTTTGCTTGTGTCAAATCCATGTAAATGCTTTGTCTGTGGGACAACCGTAGTCTAGAATATCGTCGCTGTGTAAATAAGGCAACTGGGGCTGAGAGCAGCAGCGTCACACACGCTCCTCAGTACTTTGTCAATCACTGGTTCTTAATGAGCTCTTAATTCTGTAACATTTTATTTTTAGGTCATTTTGATCGGTGACCACAAGCAGTTACGCCCCATTGTTAAGAATGTTTATGTGAAGAAGCTGGGGATGGGCAAGTCTCTGTTTGAACGCTACCATTCACTGCTGGAGAAGCAGACGGTGATGCTCAACGTCCAGTACAGAATGGTGAGAAACGTCCATTCTTGTAAATTCATCATTTGGATTAGTCACACATAAAATTGTCGACCTGCTGGTGTTTTTCTTTCTGTCCCATTCTGTCATATTTAGGAATGTTGATTCATCTTGAATAATCATGATCAATCATTAATCCACAGCTACACTTTAATCAGATGATTTATCTGTGTGTGTCTGTGGATGTGTGTGTATCAATATATTTATACAAACCTCACAAACATCTAAGGCTTTGATTGTTCTGCTGTTCTAAACAAAGAGATGATAATGAAATGATTAAATCATGTATTCTATTGTTTATTTAATTCGTTTAACAAAATATGTAATAGTTACTATAATTGCCAAGAAGTTACTTTAATGATACAACAGTTACTTTTCTTTTGTAACTAATTATGTTACTTGTAATGCTGTAACCCTGTTACTGACTCATTTAGCTTTTACTAGTAACTAGTAATCAAAAGAACTTGTTTCACATATACTGCAATATCACCAACTGTTTTTTCATGAACAGCATCCTGAAATACGTAGCTTCCCATCAGAAGAATTCTATAATAATGAACTGATTGATGGAGTGATGCAGCCCAGCAGTGTTCTACGAGTCGAAGGAAGGACAATGCCAATTGTTTTTGGGGATGTGAAAGGAAAGACCATCAGACTGGTTGTCAGCACTGCCAAAGGAAACCAGGAGTCCAAAAAAAACATGAAGGAGAGAAGAAAAGTGGTACGCTGGTGACTTTACTCTCCACTTCCACTGGGGCTGACGGTCATGAAAGAAACTAAACAAAGACATAGACAAAGACGTTAACACTAATCACTGTTTGTTATTTTGGTTCTTTTGCAGATCAGCATCGCACTAAAGCTGGTGAAAAATGCCAAAATAGAACAGCGGAATATTGCAATTCTGTCGCCCTACAATGCACAGGTTTCAGAAATAAAAGAAAAGATGAAAGAAGAGGGCCTGAATGACATCACTGTTACCACATTCACAAAGAGCCAAGGTAACAGTAACGTAACGTTCTTCACTACAGTTAACCCTCTGTAGAATTTAGCGCCATCTGAGGCACAGTGAAATAATTACAAAAGCCGGAATGTGCATCCTTAAAACAGTACCTGAAAAATGAAGTCCTGTTTGACAAATAAGGACAATTAAAATTGAAAATATTATTTTACCTCAAAGATGTTGAACCAATAACTGGACCATCATGTGACTTTTATCCAATTTGTCTTCCAGGAAGTGAATGGCGTTACGTCATCATATCAACAGTGTGCTCTCTGCCAAGTGAGGAGATCCCAATAGACCGAGACAGACAATGGATGTCCAAACATCTAGGCTTTGTGGGTGATCCTAACCAGATAAATGTGGGCATCACCAGAGCCAAAGAGGGGCTGTGCATCATCGGTACCATATTTTTGGTTCATCATCCTCATCAATTAAAGCTTTTTTCCCCCTTTATTCTAACAATATAATTAGGAACGCTCTTCTTCATTCTGAACAGTCTTTGCTGCTTTATTATATACTCATAATCTTATACAAATCAATCTGGTTCCTTGATGTCTAAATACAATATTAGTAACCAGGTCAGTGTTTCTACCAGCTCAGATGTTGATGGGTCTTCATGTATGTGGCTTCCTCACTCTAATGTGTTTGTCTCTCCCTAGGGAACCAGGAGTTGCTGAGATGCAGCAGAATCTGGGAAAGACTGCTGCAGCACTACACCGCATGTAATGCTATAGTAGATGTTGACAAGATTTCAGCGAAACGGCCCAACAACTAATTTGACTTCATGGTGTCGTCGGTTCTAAACTGTGATACAGCAGCAGTACATGTTCTTTCCCAGAACTGTTTCTTCTGAAGGACTTGTCTATAACTTTGTTCCCTGTCCAAGGATTTTATTGAGAGTTTTGATTTTCCATGTTGTTCTTAACAGCCACAGGTTTGGTCTCAGTGACGTATATGCTGAATGTGTTTCTCTTTGATATTTCTATGTATAAATTACAAAATATACAGTACGTTACATACTTTGTATGACTTCTTATAACTCGCTGTATGTTTATTACTGTTAATTACGGATAATTACCTGGTGTATTCTTTGTGGTCTGTGTACTCATTTGCATTTTCTCTGCAGAATTATTTGTACAGTAAAATTCACACATCCAAAGTGCAGTCCTTGTGAGCATTACAGTCACGTTAGGATGGAGTGTGCTTGAATGAGAACTGTTGTGCAATTAAATGGTTTTTCTCTAATTTTTTTCTGTAACCATCATTAAAAATAGTTGTGTTCGTTTAAAGCCAGTTTAATTTAAAGATGATTAATTTTTAACTTTATAGAAATGCTCGGTCACTGGCTTTTGGGGGCAATGTGCAGTTACACGTGCTTCCGTGATGGGGAGGCGCTCACATGTTTGACCACGCTGGGGGAAGGGGAGCGAGAGGAAGGGCAAAAGTGAAGACCATCCGTAAAGACATAGGGGGAGTCAGTCAAAAGAGTAAAATTCGAATTCTATTTCACTGTGCATTCCTGTCAACAGTTCAAATATGAACGGTCACTGGCTGTATTTAACCTGGTTTTGAAGATAACTTCAAGAGTTACCTCTGATTCAATGCTCTGCAATAAAAGTACAGAGAGCGCGTTTGGTTGCGTAAATATTCCCCTCTACTGATAATGGTACCGTCGACCTTTGTAACCTCAACAAGCTACAATAACTCCGCGGGGATTAACGGAACACGACGATAGTTTGTCGTTTCAAATTAAGATGCTGTATTTTTGCGGTGCCGTGAAAATTAAGTAGTAAAAATTAAGTAGTATTATTGAAATAAAAGTGAGGAAAAAAGCCAAAGAACTTCGAACCAATGTTGTTGATTATTACGTCAATTACATTTGTATGCCTAAAGGTGACAAAAAGAAGAATTCCAATGCAGTGCCATACTCCAGCTTTAATTCAAGCACATTTCTTACATGTTTTGGACTTTTTTTGGTTCAATTCAAACAGGTAAAAATTGTATGTGTATATAAAACAATAGTTTTACAGAAAGAGGTTAGAATTATTCAGATTATGCCATTCCAGCAATAATATATATACGGAAAATAAGAAATTTCTATGATGGATGTAAAAAAAAACCCAACTCTTCCTCCGTGGTGTAATTGCCCATCCATCTATGCTTGTAACTATTTTAATCAGCACATTTTTTTTTGTAGAATTCTGCAGAATGTCTTCGACACCTGGTCCTAGCCTGCTTCTTTGTCTGGTCAAAGACCTGACTTCCAATTCTACCTAAATTTTATTTCAATTATTTCAGAAAAGAAAATAAATTAGGTGGAGCTAGATTATAAACTGTTTATGAACTTCAGCTATTTGAACACATTTTCATTAACGCCTCATTCAACTTAATTTCACGACCTGGCGTTTGTTTTGATTTTAAAATTATTTATTTTTTTAGAGTTAAACGAAAACTTTAATTAACAAAAGGTACAACCTGTCAGAGCTGTTGGAGAACGGATGTTACTTTGAAGGTCTGTGCCGGAAGTCATTGTATGCACTGTTGCTCACTGAAACTGTCTTTGTTCTTGTCCCAACTTCCCTCGCTCCTCCTCCTTACGATACGTTTTACTTCAAGTTTTTTTTCCTGCTCTTCAATGTATTTCCTGTCGTGACAACATGCAGGTATATATCATTTTGATTAAATCGTGAAAACATCGCTTACACGCATGGAAACTGTTGATGGCGGTGCTAACTGGCGGAGACGAACCAGAAGTGCCAGAGCCTGCTGTAAGAAACA